ACATTGCTCAACATCATGAAAATTAAACCTTATTTTCAATAAGCAATCCTGAAAAATATTTGGGGGTGCTTAACTTTTTTCCAGGTGTATATCTGAAAAGTGGAATTATTTAAAACTGACGGTCAAGGTGCTTCCTTTCATCCTTATATGGATTATAAGTTCTATATTTTTCATTCTTTCCAGCCTACTGACCATATATTGCCATTTCTAGCACTTCATAAAAACAGTTAATAAATGTTATTATGTTTGCAACACAGAAATAAAGCATGATAATCATTAACTATTTTTTGAGATTGAATTAGCTTTCTCTTACATAAATTTCAATAAATAATGAAATAAAAATCACTACATGACATAGCTGTAAACTATGCCATTATAAGTAGCAAATGACCTGAAAGCTAGGTGTCAAACATGCTTATTAGTTATAATACTCTCATAAGCCTAATGAAATCATATGATATCTTACTTTATTGACAGAGGCTTTGCAGTATCTCATAAAAATTACTCCTGTGCTCATTTTAGCAATTATTACCAGAAGGAGGTTTTATAAAGTGAAAAGGATCTGGTAAAGTTATTAATTGAACTAAGTAATACAAGCATAGTAACTAACAGTTAATTTATTACTTCCATGTTGTGTACAAAAAATGCAAAACCAAAATATAGTTAAATTATTTAAAGGTAAGTGATTTTTGAAGACTTCTGATGTATCAATTATTACATGATTATAAAGAGGTTGAAAAAGAAGGTTAAACTTATTCCTTCAGTATCAATTTATTTTTGTGATTCATTTAGTATTTAACACTGACTGCATAGTCACTTTAAAATAAAAATAACAAATAATTCCTTGGACTATTATAAAAACATTGTTAAAAATAGTCACCAGTCCCACATATTTAAACTTAAACAACCTACTGAAATATCATCTAAAAATATTGGTCCACTGCTTGCTGTCCTCTGTACAGATTCTGTAGGACTTCTGGGGTAGAGGTAAGTCGAAGACCTGCGTCTACGCGTGTGTGTACAATTGTTTGGAATCTTATAAGCACAGCGTTTGTGAAAGTTTAAACCACACCCTGAAAAAAAAAAAAAACTCAGGAAAAGTTTAACACACAAACATAAGCTGTAATAAGCCACAAAGTCTTACTCCAATAGGAAAAATATCTTTTAAATTATTCATACCTGAGAAGAAAAAGATTATCTTAACTACTGCATATCATGAAAAGCAGTTACTAGTAATTATAATGCTTACTGAAAACAAAAGTTAGGTAAAAATTGGATCTTATTAACAACTAGATATTATATTTCTAAAAGAAAGGTTAAATTTCATTACATTATGAAGCCTGACTAATCCCTTTCATTCATTCTAACCTTAACTTTAGTTTCTAGCTTTTAAACTAATCTCTTTCATGTACACCTTTCAGTATTAACTACAGTGTTTAAACCTATCTGTTAGAAACTTGCTTTCCTATATTTAACTTTTAGACTTTTACAAAATGTCTTGTAAAAGTCTTAATAGATTGTTAACAAAACCCGAAGCAAGATTTCAGAAATAGTCACCATAAAATACTAGTAACACATATCCTGATCTGTACTAGACAGTCTTCAATCAGTCTGTTGAGAATGAGAAAATGCAAAAAAAATTTCTTTTTGAACAAATTTTACTGACATTTCTCAGGATAAATTCTGAAGCACTGTACTGTATTTTGTGTTTTTTTCATAATGCTGACACAGACTCTCTTTGCTATCAATGTATATTGTAACCTCATACTACACAAGGATTAGTGAAGAATAAGACTAAATTTGTGTATTGCCATAACTATTCACAGTTTTTGTCCTTAATCACGATACTAGAAGAGTACACTACAACAGGAGCATAACTGATTTACTCAAAAACACACAAATATATTCTCTAAAGTAATATTATCTTGAGTAAAGTTACAAAAGAATACTATTCCTTAGTCTCACACTCACAAAACAGTAAAAGAATATTGCCAACAAAAAAGAATGTTAACTTCAAGATCCATTGTGTTAGGGTAACATACTATTATGACATAAAACATGAAGAATAACAACTACTTTTGCCACCTGAAAGTTGTACAGAATGCTCTACAATGTATTAAGCACCAAATTGGGATTAAGTTCTAGTACTATCCTTTGGAAGTTTGAATCAACAGTACTGAAAGTGTGATGAAAAAGTGAAAACAGCCATAAGTGGTCCAAAAAAAAAGTATGGTCACATATAATATCACAAAGATGTTTTAGTTTCAAGCTGAAGGGCTAGGTGTATTTGTAAACCACATCTCACCAAAACTCCTAAAAAAAACTTCTACTTGGAAATTATCATGATTACATACAAATTGAAAAGACAGAAAATAAATTATATGTAGTGAAAACGGGTGACACAGATGAAGCATAAAACATGCTAATCTAGTGGTCCAACTGGACACTATTAAAATCACACATACTCAGCTGATTTGTTTCTGTTTCTTCCAACTATTACTCACTGTGGTTTATCAATAGATTAAGTAGTTAAGATACTTTATTACAATACTTACTAGACTAAGCATTTGCTTCAAGTGTTTGTTTTTTCCTTAGTTTTATAAGGAATAACATCTTTGAAAATGCATATGTTGAGATGCCACAAACATACAGCTGACTAAAAAATAGCAACCAAGGTTCTGGCACAAATATAAATCTGATAGGAATAAACCATTTGATCAGCTACTACAGTTATGGACAGCTTACCATTATACTTACCAATAATATAAATATCCAAAAATAACAATATAGGGAGAGCAGAAAACAAACAAACAAAAAAAGCTATTAAATGTAATACAATATTGGACACTTTAGTTTTGTGTAACTTTGTCTGAGGGCCTGTTAAAAAAAAAAGTGTTATAGAATAGAAATGCATCTTACCTTCACATTTAAGCCCTTGCCTAACTAACCCAAACAGCAGTTCTCCACAGAAATCACAAAAAGTTGGAGATTTGTATGAATGTACCATCAAGCTGTGAGGTCGGATCTGAACATCATCAGATGGATTATTTACTGTGAAAAACAAATGTTGGTTACAGATCTTCTGTTACAGTATACACTGATGGTTAATAGGAATTTATTGCCATCAACTATAAACATCAACTGGATTACTTACAGTGAAAAAACAACAAACAAATATCTGTTATAAGTCCTTAGATCTTATTTATGTTACAATATACACTGTTAGTTATTAGGTATTTGTTGCCATTAAATAAGAAAAATTCAAATTTAACAAGTTTTGCAGTGACTTTTTTTTTAACTGGAAGGATTGCCATTACTTTCTGTCTAGTTCCAGTACCTTTGATAACAAGTTTTGAATACTAGTTTATCATAAATAAAACAGCACAAGTTATTTTATATGTCTTTTATAATGTAACAACATTATGACACCACATTTTCCACCCTGCACCAATAATCTGAATAACTATAAAATAAGTAAAAATGCTCATCAATTAAACTAAGCAATGATTCTTCCTCATCCTAATCAGTTGAAAAAATATGGAAAATATAAATAACTGTATCTGTCATATCCCAACCGGACTGATAAGCTCCAGTAATGGCAGATATAATGTGGTTGAAATACTGTTTCACATTCCACTTTATTTTCACTCATAATGTCTACCTGAAACATTTTCAAACCTTATACATCATCTCTTGGTTACATACTAAGGCATAATTTGTTATATTAACATGCTACTACTTCAAAACATAATAAAACTTGTCTCCCATTTCTTTTTTGTTACTCTCTTGCAATAATAGAATTCTTTGTCTGCAGACATGAATAAGTATTAACCACCACAAAACAGATTTTACAGTACCTGACAGGATAATTTCCACAACAGTGTTATCTGCGACATCGGAAGCTACATTGATTGGAAGCAGCATGTTTTCTGAGCTGTAGTCATGACGGAGTAGAAGAAGACGCTCACTGAGGCGGTTCAAGCCATGATCAGGGAACTTTAAGAAGTGGTCAACAAATAAATCATTTGTTCAAAAGAAGATCAAGAGAATTTCAATAACCACATAATTATGAACTTAATATTTCAATTAGGTTTGTAGGTTCTTACATTGCATAATTCAAGTCTTTCTAGATGTATAAAACTGTAGAATGTATTTTTTTCTATATATATTGCTATAACTTCAAATACAAAAGTATATCTAGCCTTTCCTTATATATATATATATATGCAGAATGTGGTGTTATTTAAAATATGGGTTAGTAACTTGAAATTATAAAATTTAGTTCAAACTTTTTGAATACTAACTAATGTACAAGACTATGTCTGGTAAACTGATTTTAATCTGTAAAAGCACTTTCCAAACATAAATGTAACAACATTTTATAGCCATAACTCTTCCTTGTTTTATTATTTATTGGTGTATATGTATAAGTATATGCAGTCGATTATATTTTATTTATTTAATCTGAACATGTCTCATCACACACAGTATATGCATGTAGATATGTATTATATCAATGTGTATGTGTATATAAATACAAAAAGGTAAACATTTTGATGTTCTGTTCATGCAACAATCTAATTTTTCAATTCTTATAGACTTGCAAACAAACTTACACATAATATCTTGTAACTTGTAGTTCTTAAACTGATATTTCAACACAAAAAACTATTTTTGAACAATGCTGATGGGCATCACACAAAAAAATTATTATCTTTGTGTTTAACTTTTATTACCATGTTACATTTAGGAATCTCTCTGAATTATATTCTAACAGGTTTATTTCTTTTCTAAACTAACAGTAACAGCTTATTTCTGAGTAGGCTGTTCAGTTTCAGTAGAGGCTGAACCTTCTTACATACATATGTAATAGTGGTAGTTAGTGACTGGAAGTTACATTTCAAACTGCTGTCTGTTTGTTTTATTAAATCAAACAAAACAGGAAGCACAAATACACGAACATGACTTGGCTAAAATGTATTACTATTCCACTATAACTGAATGGAATTGTGCTAAATGCTCTGCTGGTACCCTTACAAACATATATATCAGTTATTTAATCAACAGTTTCAAATTTATTCAGTATGAAATTGTCTAGACTTGTAATTTTAAAAGCTAATATCACACAACTTCCAGAGTTACAAATCACTAGTTTATCATTATCAAAATTTATAAATAAATTAAAAAGCTGCCATTCTTATTCTTCTGTCTTTTTATAATACTTTTTCATACATTTTTTAATTTTGAATAATTTTTTCTGTTCCAGCATGTTGGTTCAAACGTAAATGAATATCACACTCTCCATTTACTTAGTGATATTAAGGGCAGAAACTACCATCAGTTGCATGTGAAAAATGGTTTTTCTTTTGTTTAATATCATTCCATATTACTGGGTGTTATAAAATTCAAAATTTTGAAAACCAACCATTTTAAAAGTCTGGTACAAGTACCATATTACCCCATTTCTCATTACAGTATAATTGTATAAGATTTTATGAAGAGTAAAATAACAATATGGATATAAGATATAAAAAGAATAAACCAACCTTCCTATCAATGAACTTGCATGCTAAGTCTTTGAGTGTTTTCAGATTGAGTTCACCAACATCAACAGTAACTATGTCTCTCACTAGCCCTGCTTGGAGGAAGAAAGATATCTCACCTGGAACCTTCAGAACTGGTGTCTCCATAACAAAAGCCTACAACAACACATGGAATCAACTAAGACAGCTCAGTACTGTGTTACTAGTCATAATGCTAAGTCATTTTCATAAAAAAGAAATAAATATATATATATTTGTTGCACTAACTTTCCAACCAAGAGTAACACTTGAGGAAAAGTTCTAAAAATTTATAAACATTAATAATAAATATGCTAGTTTAACTGAAATTTCCCATGTGCTACACAACAAGTACATTTAAAAATCATAATTTCATTTGTTTCAATGATACTTGTATATAAGTGAGACATATTAATGACATTTGATACTATAAATTACACTCAGGATTTTAGAATGATTGTAATACACGTTTTATGTAGCATTACTTTTTTGTCACATTATCTTTGTTGTTTTATATTGTATAGCCTCAGCAGTTTTTAATAGTATTTTTTCCTTTCCTTTTATCAACTTTTGAGATAAAATGTGATAAATAAATAACCTTAAATACCATCATTCCATTTGTTTTACTGATCTTTTAAAAAAATGTCATTATATCAGAAAATTAGGAGAATTAATGTATATTTTTACTCAGTTTATTAAAATACATTTCAGCTGTTGTATTTGTTATCTCAGTTTGTTTGTTTTAAGCAATAACTTGAATATTACTTTTAAAATGTTGCAGATTTTATGCTGAATTTCTATTTAACAAAAAACAAAAACCTTTCTCAAGGAATAACCGGTCTTGCAGACATAACCTAACCTGATTTAGACTAGCTGCTTTGTGATACAGTGACCAGTAGTTTTGCCTTAAACAATTTCTTACATAATTTTTAAATGAAAGTTCTTGTACATAAATATATTATGTATGTATCTATAAATATGTATTTCAGTTATTTCTGTAAACCAACTCTTCAATCTTTATACAGTTTTAAATCTCAAGTTTAAAGCATGGACAGTTTGAAATGGGTATATCACATACTTATTTCTGTTATGTACACAAGAACATAATTAATTGGGCTCATCAGTGTAACTGCTTTTAAGAGAGGCTTAAATCTGTTTTTAGCTTTAAAGAGCTGGTGGTTTATGTTTCATGCAAACACATTTTACTTTAGTCAATACAATTAAATCATTAAGATAAGATTACTAAAATTCATGATCATATTTAATAAGTGTTCCCTTGCCATTTTCTATATAAATAAAATTATGAACCAAGCAATATTAATAACAGTTCCACTGAATGTCCCACATTGTCCACATAAAAATTTATCTGATTCAGCATCTCTAAAATGAGTGCTCAAAGTTGATAAAATAGGCAAAAAATACCAATTACTTGGATTTCATATTTAATGTTACTAGATAAGAAAAAAGTGTCATTTTAAAGTGGAATTATAAAATAACATTTTAGCAAAATAAGTACAATCATTCACTCTAATATTACACTTATTACAAAATTAGTATCATACAACTAGTTACGATCTAAACAAATCATTAAGAACTGTCTTTGTTAATAAAGAGAAAAACAAAATGACAGCCATTTTGTGAGAAACTTGAACTAATGTCTATGGAAACTTTGAAACTCCTTGTAGCTGGGGTAAGTACAGTCTACCGACTGTAAGACAGCCTAGCATAAACCTCAATGTACTGAATATTATATTTTACAAGAGTTCTATTTATAACATATAAATTTCAAATTAGAAAAAAATAAATGAGCAAGTAATTATTTATAGTTCTGACTCACTTTGAACAGAAAATCTGCATTATGTTTTACAGTTAACGTTTATCTGAACATCTAGTCCGCGAAAAATAAAATTATTTTGAAATACAATAAAAAATTTGTTTAACAAGTAATTTTTTGTGGTATAAGCTAAGCCATTTTACATTTAGAACATATCCAATGAATACAATGTCCATGTATTTTACTATATAACTTGCAAATATATACACAAAGTTGACACACACACAGAGTTCAGGCCACTAAATATGACAGACATATTGTATCCTGACCCTCTTCAAGTTTTACAGATCTTTTCTGAAGGAAAAAAGTTTTAAATCCAATTTAATATTCCCTTGAATAATTTCCTTTAAATTCTTATTTTTTATATTTGGAACAATTCTTCAATCTAACTTCAGTTGCAGTGTTAAACCCCAACCAAATTCAAACAGAAATTGAAATAGCCACGGAATGTATGAAGAAGACAAATATGGCGGATGAACCAGTAGAATACATTCAAGTAAAATAATAATCACAATAAAAGATAATGTACTGGCTCATACGTAAATTGTTCACATTTCGTATAAACACTTTGTCGTGTATATAGGTCACACACGAGCTTCAATCAACAGCTCCAAGTATTATGTCTATCCACAACTGATAGCGAAGTGGTATAATTTTAAAAAAAGCACTGTGTATGTTTCGAAATATAACAGTAAAACTTGACTAGAAAGCTATACAGACATGTTACAACTTTTACCTCCGTGCAGGGGATGAGGAAGGGTTAATATATGTTTATACATACACGATTTCAGACTTTCTAGCCTTACACAGTTTTGTAGCGGACCAATCCATCACGGCTCCGAATTCGTGATATTTGGAGACTGTTCATATTATAAATGTGAACCTGATTCAGTACCACGACTAGAACCTATATTTTTACCTTCAGCAAAGCGATTATACTCAGAAGTGTTGTCGTTGAAACACTTAAGTGAATTATAAAAACAAAAACGGAGTGAAAAAAGGACGTTTCTTTCACTAATCTTATTATACACGTATAGTACAAACGTCGAATAACTGAAAACAAGCATTTCTGTATTTTATATTTTTCAGTATACAATTTTTTATCCCTTTGTCCTACCCAACTTCCTGACTATCATAGTTTAAGAGCAAATTCACAATTATTGTGATGAACGATACATCCAATTCTACCATACGTCTGAAAACATCGTTAAAGGAGTTATACAACTGATGAAATGATACATCAAATCCTACATAAGACTGAAAATATCGTTAACGGAGAAGTTACACAACTGATGAAACGATACATCCAATTCTACCATACGACCGAAAATATCGTTAACGGAGAAGTTACACAACTGATGAAACGATACATCCAATTCTACCATACGACCGAAAATATCGTTAACGGAGAAGTTACACAACTGATGAAACGATACATCCAATTCTACCATACGACCGAAAATATCGTTAACGGCGAAGTTACACAACTGATGAAACGATACATCCAATTCTACCATTCGACTGAAAATATCGTTAACGGCGAAGTTACACAACTGATGAAACGATACATCCAATTCTACCATACGACCGAAAATATCGTTAACGGCGAAGTTACACAACTGATTAAACGATACATCCAATTCTACCATTCGACTGAAAATATCGTTAACGACGAAGTTACACATCTGGTAAAATGATAAATCCTAATCTTTATAAGTTTATTTTTTATTTCGATCTGAGTAGTTAGCTTGGTCTGATCATAAGACGATATTAATACGTTTATAGTTGTATTTATTACAACTAGATACTAATCATCAGGTAGGTTATTACAGTCATTATGCTGTTCGCATACGTACACATAAAATTTCTGCTGAGAAAAAAAGCTTGAGTGAGTTACTTCCAAGACCTGAAGCGTTTATAAATCACATCATGCGACTAACTGCAGGAGTATACAAGCAATATTTGTGTTTATTTTTGTATGTAGAAAATACTACAAATCTAATACTTGACAAGATACAAGCTGTACTGTAGAGTACTGGCCTCGTCCGAGCGAAAACTTCGCTTACTCTCTTTATTTTGTTTTTCTGTTATACGATCTAGAATATGGTGCAACTTCATATGAAAAGATTAGTCTGTTTTTTGACAAACTGTATACTACACCCCATACGGAGGATTCTAACTCCACACACACAAAATTCACAATCTATATTAATTTTATATAACATTGGACATAATAAGCATAAGATTAGTATGGTTGGACGGGTTCGTGTATAAGCAAGTGCCTGTGCTATTACCATGAAGATCCAAGTTCTACAGAAACCGAATAGTCCTACTGTTGTTATTATTACTATTATTGTGAACACAAATAAAACTCATAGCAAACACGATAACATGTGTTCTTGGATTAAAGGCCTGTCATACCAAGATGATCAAATTTCTTTAACAGAATCTGAATAATATTTCTTGTTTTTTGGTTTTATTATAAATACGAATAATTGTTTCACTTCCACACAAAGCTACTCGGGGAAAATCTGCACTAGCTGTCCCTAATTTTGAAATGATAGACCAGAGGGAAGGCAGCTAGTCAACTCCACACACAGTCTACTCTTGGGCTACTCTTTTACCAACGAATAGTTAGATTTACCGTCATATCATAGCACTCCCACGGCTGAAAGGGCGAACATGTTCGGTAACTTGGGCGTCTTGTAACAGGTGAGAATCCATTAACACAATGGACAGTGGCAAAAGTCGTCCAAGTACTACAGGTAACAGTACGCAACATGATCTGGAAAGATATCCGTCTGGAAACGAGGCCAAATTAGTATGGATTCACCAATATAAAGTTTCAATCATCCCTTCCGTTCAACCGCCACATACCTCAAGTAGCTGGGGAATGAAACGGGTATTCATGCTATTCAATATTAAGATATACAGGTTAATCAGTAGGACGTAGCGCCTTCTGATTTCTGTGCGATCGGACTTTTGAAACGAGCGCTGGAAAACCGTTATCTTCGTACACCAGATAGAATATGATAAGCATGCGGAGAAGAGCACTGTGCTTTGGAAGGAGCCTTTGCAATATAAAACAAGAAGGAATCCTCACCAGCCGCGGCACTTGAACTTCATTTAGGCAGTATTAGAGTAAATTAATCCATGAGAACGTTTTCCTTTTTATTAGCTATATTTTTATGCGCCAGCAATACCAAGCGTGGATCGCGTGTATACTTGATAAAACAACAACAACAAAAACTCAGCCATTCTATGAGCTGCTATGCCGCGGCTAAAAACTACGATGCAGGCCTATTGTCAAGATACACGATCGTCATACAGAAAATGACTGGACGTGACAACGCTCCAAATTGTTTTAATATAACGTACTCAACCCTCTATATTGCTCTGCAGTACTAAAGTTGCTATCTTTCATTCAACGGTATATTGTGTTCTTTGACAACCATTTTTTTGTAAAATACATGATTTTATCACAATTCGTAATTATTTGTTGCAAGTTTGGTTCACTGATTTCACTGTTAGTTTGGTGTTTTGATTGACGTTTTAATAACTGTTTTAGAACACTAAAATAATTTAAAGCTATTTGAGATTGTTAATTACCAATTAGAGAAAGTTTGTTTGTAGTTAAGTAAAAAGATACACTACGTGCTATCTGCGCTGTGCCCACTATGGGTATAGAAACCCGGTTTCTAGCATTGTGAGTCCGCAGACTTACCGCTGTGCTACAGGGGAAATTACAGAAAAACGAATTTAAGACTGTACAAGTGAGTATCCGTACCAACTAGTCACAATTCAGAAAGCGTTCAAGTTCGTCAAAATTTAAAAAGTGTCAGACTAAATCAGTCACAATTAAGAACCTACTAAAGTAGTGATTAACAATAGGTAGTGAATTAATTTTCCAAATCAGACTGCTTTGTTTACCAGTGTACTTATGTCTTAAATAATAAATCATGAAGCTGGTTTTGTGTACAAAACTTGAAGATAGCTTTTATATGCAGAAACATCTGTTAGCTGAGTTACACAGATCTTCAAATATAACGTTGATAAACGGAAACATCGGTATCGTTTATCAACGTTATATTTTAAAATCTGTGCAAGAACTCAGCTAACAGATGTTTCCGCATATGAAAGCTATCTTCAAATCATGAAGCCAAAACCACTACACACAATGATTTACAAATAACTGGAACTTATAATATTTAATTATAAATAAGTAAAATCAATATTATAAAATTGTGTAAATCATTCTCCTTAGTTTATTTTTAAGTAAATCAAGCATTTCATTTATGTGTTATATGATCTAAAATGGAAAAAAAAAAACTGGTTATTCTGACTACACTCGTAAACGGACATTTTAACAGACAGCTTTGTACCTCAACGATTCATATTTTATTTCAATGGCGATTCCGCATAACGAACGCAGAGGATTATGGGAAATCTAGTTTTACCCAGCGTGCGACACATCGAATGTACATGCACGTCATTCTGGTTAACTTGTTTATTGTACTTAAAAAATGTCGCCTAATTCTTAGTGTAATTACCGGTTGTTAGTGTGTATGAAAAGGACAAAAAAAGCATCATTTTAGTTTCTTAAAAGAAAATCTCAGAGAAGAATGGGTTAGACGGATATCAAGAAATAGGTTCATACCTTGCGACATCAACATCACTAAACATTTTCTCCTTTTGTTAATATTTTAATACAAACAATATTTTTTCTTTATTATCCAGTCATACAAGTAAGTTTCAGGCCAGGATTAGGGCCTTATTATTGTTAAATCTGACAAAACCGGCGTTTTGTTTTATTTTCATTAACTATACATCAATGACACTATAATGAACAAAATATACACCATTAATTGAATATTACCAGTAAATAAGTGGCCCCAAGAGGTGTCTATCACAAACAAATCAAAATTAGGTCAACATCTACTGCGTACATTTAGCACCTATTGATCTCATATACATATCTATTATATACTATGTGAAGTCAACATCTATTGTTACGATCCAAATATATGAAATCATATAAAGAAGGTCGAGGTTATTCGCCTGGCAGCCAGATACCACATGAGAGATATCCAGTAGGGTGTTCATGGATAAAAAGTAGTACTATCGACATTTCGCGTCTTATCCTGTTCAATAAAGAGTTTGGCTACTTCAGAGAAAATTCCATATGATGCTGTCTTACTGAATAATAACTAAATATTTAACCCTGGTTGTTTCTGAGTTGGCTTGGCTCTTCCACTGAGAAAAATTGGATCACGCAGAAACCAAGGTTTTCCTTAGGCCGTGGTAAATGCCTGCGAATAGCGAAACTCATTAAGAAAAAAAAAAAAACCCTGTTTTTACAAACTACAAAACGGGAGAGAAATTAGTCAGAAGGCCTATTTGTTTCTGATCTACCTCATATCCAATTTAGTTACTTAAGAGTCTCATGCTCTATCAATTGAGTTAGCTGCGCTGGTGTTCAGACGACACAAGTACCTACACGAAACTCAACACAAGGCTATTAAGCGAATAGCCAATTTCACAATAAGATAGAGAAAAATTCATTGACGATAGATATGTCATTAAACCAATCTTTTATGTATGGTCGTAATGCGGGAATCATACCTCCGATTAACTACGAGTATACTGTTTACTTTATAATCCTGATTTATCATCTTGCACATGTAGTAATCCAGCTTAGCGCTGATTCTAATCTGCGTTTATGCTTCTAGGTCTCAGGTTTCTTTTCTTATCCACTGCTTCAGCTTATAAGCATTTCATTTAATAAGGCTGGTCTGTGTTTAATAGGCCATAGAAAGGGTAGACCCGTTTCCCATAATGTATGGCGCGTGTAATGTAATTTGTATATTCACTATTGGAGTGTCTGTAAGATAATCGGAACGGCAAAAGCAGCATTACACTGATGTTGCTTCCTCATATGAATGCTAAAAACATCTAAAGGTATTTTGAGCCACTCAATTGAAAGAACTGTTCCCAATGGATCCGACTGTCTGTAGTGACACAATGCAATGCGTCACTCATGAGCATCTCGTATATACTCGACAGGCTTAAGTCCTGTGAGTGTGTCAGTCCCCTCTTCCTCAAGTAATATGTCTGCAGTTGGGGCGGGCTCATCATTCATTAGGTTGAAGTCAGGGATAGGTGCACTAGCAAAAGGCAGCACAAGGGGTTGTAGGATGTGGTATCTATAATGTATGTAGCAATAATTATACCATTCTTCTGGATTTAGAGAAAGGAGCGTTCACGATCTATATGCCTTGCTGTGAGTGAAATGTATATTGTTGGACATATGATATACAAGATGGCCTTGTGAAACCTCTTTCTAAATGTCTGTTCACTGATAAGAAATCCATTTGTCGCTATGAACATCAGAATCGGTCTCGGATCAGGTGAGATATAGTCGACAGGCGTCGTCATTTTATGTTGTAGATAATCGCTGCCTTTTAAAGATGTCCTAGTAACCGTACTATTGGTTCGACGCAACAGCTTTCTGTGATTGGCTGGCATCCATTCATCTTGCGACTCTTTAGATGAATGACACATCACATGTTTTCTAAGATGTTTAGCCATAATTCATGAATAACTTGGAAAACTTTAACTTTTTAATGCTTTTCAAAGAGAGAACAGAGATAAGATTGTGAAAGACGACTGTATACGAAATAGGTTGAATAACCAAAACATCAGTAATTCAAATCACAAACTAATCATCAAATTTTTAATTTTTATAACAATGAAAACAAGTATAGTGTAATTACAAGTTGCAATAAGTACCACAGAATCTAATGATGGTATGTAAGATACCACCAGAAAATATGTCTGCCTAGATCTGACAAGTTAGGAACCAATGCTTGAGCATGTAATATTCATTACCAATCCCTTCTTTCTTCGCTGTACCTGAGAAAATTCAAATTCGAAGTGCACGTTCCCCAAGCAGCTCGATTACGAAGACAAACCCAAGTGTATTTAAGCTTCAGGATATAATCTTGTGAAGTAAGACTCCAGGCACAGCCTGAGTTATACCTCGTAGTGCCCTTGGCTTCATCACTCAGGTGCGCAAGATTATTAGTGATATTCGAGGTTTTCATGCATGCATATATAAAAGAAAATATTCACGAACAATGTATGAATAATTTATCAGCTGGCAGTCTCTAAGAAAAAAAAAACACCAGAAAAAAAAGTAGCACCATGCATGAAACCATGTTTCACAATAATTTAATAATGAAACTCAAGGATAAACTGACGATACACAAAGTATAAAAAAATCTCATTAGGCCAACAGAAGTTACGGAGAACATACTCGAACAATAGCCTGCACTACCCTTAAAAGCAGCTCTTTAGAGGTATAACCATAACAAATCAACTTCACAAGAAAAACTATCCAACGATCCTGTTAAAAAAAACAAAAAAAAACAACAACAAATAACTGGTAGTGAGATCAATATTTCTGGTTAACCTATTCAGCAAATAAACTTATTAATTAAATTCATACGCTGTATTTAGAGGCTCTGTTAATAGTGGTTTCGTAAAACATCACTCAACCTTGACCCCTTTTGATTGACTGATTATTTAAAATTTTTGGAAATTCCACAACACGGGTATTGTTCTACAAAAATACTTTTTGTCATATGCACAAGAGAGATTGAGATATTCACAAGTTAAGAGGAACTGGTTGAATTGTTGATTCGCGATACTTAAGTAAATAACAGAATCACAAATAAAGATTATTCTTATTACTAAACGTGTAAAGTTATACTGCTCAAATTGATAGTTTATATGGATATTCGTGTGTATATATAAATACAGGTACACGCAGGGCATTTACTGTAATCTATTAGTGGTTCAGAACTGTGTTTAGGATTCGGAATTCAGTTGGTTTCTGATGTATGGAAACCGATATAATTGGTAACTCCTATCTTTCAACTCTCGAATCACTTATATCAGCACACAACAAGTACTATATGTACTGCAACAGACAAAGAGTGTAATATTTAATACACAGACATATCTGAAGTATGACAGAATACAATTGGCAAACCTGTATATTTAGGATAATGTTAACAATATTTTATTCTGCTCAATGATACAGTATTTTAATTTTTTCCTACTTTTTTTTTCTCTGAAAGGGGGTCGAAGGCTACCTGGAGGAGTCATCTGCTGTTTTAACCAATCGCATCAGTATATATTAGTGTATTGTCAGTCAGTCAATAGACACTAAAATGGCGTCACATAATGGATGCTCAACGTTGCAATTTGTACTGTCGTGACGTCAGTAAAACGTGTGCATGACATATGAACTTCACAAGCAAGAAATAAAAATATTTGTTGCTCTTAATTTTGGTTTTATTTAGTCTTCAAACAAACGAAACACTTTTGGGAAACCTGCGGAAGTACATCTAGTTTAAATCTTAAATGTTTCTTTGTTACTCGAAACACATACTGCAAACACTTCTACTGCCAGCAAATAGCATACAACCATAGAAACTGATCTTTCTCAAGGTTTGTTTTTCTGTAATACTGTTTCAGTTGAAAGAACTGCTAATTCCATCCTTCTATAATTTGTATAGAATATCTTTTAGATATTTTCGGGTAATTTTTTCTAAATTTTCATACAAGTTTTTTTTAAATGTACTGTACTTAGCGTATTCTTAGTAAACCAAACCTACGAAGGTCGTAAACTCGCTTAAATAAAAGGTTACACATTACAAGATTATTCTGCTGAGCTAATTCATGCTTAAACGCTGTTTCTGTGTTAAGTCCTGAAGTCAGGTTACACTCATTTCAAGGGGTTATACCGACCTGTACATGTTAGTATGTTTATTTACAATGATTTTTTACGTGGATAGTTAAGTATTGTGGGATACCTCATTAGGATCTTGGCCTGACTTGCAATTGCGGTATTTCATTACTCTTACTATGGTCCTTGTCCTTTATGGACGTGAATTATTCTTGATCTTTTTTTTTACTTGTGCGGAAATATCTTCGAAGCCTCCTCTTTACCCCATGAACCAGTTAAAAGTCAATGAGCGAAAGGGGAACTGGCTAATAAGTCATAAGCTTACACTCACATATTTTATTTGTGCGAATAAACATATTTTATTTGTAAATTTGTATTCCCTTTGCTATCTGTGTTTAAAATTACACCCTATTTAACATTTCTAAAACTTGCGTTTTGTTGATATTTCTAACTACCTGACGGATATCAGTATTTCTGAATACCACAATACTACAAATACAATTTCAAAACATTATGGTCAAAGTATTGTCAGTGGTTCTCAAACTTACTTTTTTACTCTCGATCTAGTTGTAAACGTTGATGGCCAGTCGTGATCCAATAAATAGTTTCAGTGCAAAAATCATCTGGTTTACTAAATACTTTAACACATTCTGACAATTGATTTTTGGTTGCGAACTATGGGTTAAGAAATGTTGAACTACATAGTTTTCCCCATTTTTCAGTTATGGAACGGAAAAACACAAAAAACGCTAACCTATAACAGGATTATTAATTTCCTGATCGCAATGAGAATGGTTGAAATTAACCTTCTAACAGTTTCGTATTTTACGGCAGAACGGGTGTGTCGAAAAAGTTAGAAAATACAGAAAAATACAATGTATTCGTACAAATATGTGTGGCATCATCAGGAGTCTGAAGAGAACACAGATTACAGCAGATTCTGGCAAGTCAGAAAAAAGGGAAACCAATCAAGTCAAAGAATGACAGTAAAGTCACACTACGTCAAGTGACAATTCTAAAGAGAAAATATGAGAGTGAACCTGGAAGTCTTTTTATACTGGTGTATATAATAAACTAATTAAAAAACAACAACATTCCTTCGTTATCCTTTTCTCCGTTGTTCAAGTTGATCTAAAAATATAATTATTTTGGTTTCATACGTTAAAGTAAATAGGTGTATGAATAAAAAAAAAAAACGTCATTGAACATCATTTGTATTGCCAAGCCTTTTTTTCAATCAGGTTGTTCTGTTGAGTTGTAATGTATAGTTGCGTATTGGAAAAACAGTATCGAGGTTTACAGAGTTCTTAGTTTTATGTCTAGTTTCTAAAAACTTGATTCTCTGATTTGTTTGTTAGATTATAATTGATGGTACATGGTCTAAAAATCTCTATCTAGCATCTTATTAGTAAGAATTATACATTTATTTTTCTTCCTCTGAGGAATGGTCTTTGCTTATTTCTAGGGTTGTTGAATGCATGGGTATTTGATTAACTTTGTGTTGTTCTGATACGATATATGCTAAGTTGATATAGGTAACTTCTTTCTGCTAAGCCGTTCTCATTAGACAATGAGGTATAATGAAGGAGGTATTTTACTAGTTAGTCACTAGTTCGAATACTATTCTCTGCTCCAGTTTCACTAACTCAAGCTTATGGATATAAAGTTTGTGGGTTTTATGGTCCAACTGGTTTTTATTAGTGGAATACTTCAACTGTCAATCGATTTTTGTACGTTTTCTTGGTCTTGTCCTGAAGTTAAAATCACTTTAAAACTAACAGCTTTTTTCTTCTCTTTCTCGAAATGATTATGAAAACAGCATGTTAGGCTATTTTCTGTTTTTGTACTTCTTAATTAGCATTGTATAGGTCAACAGCAAGCACAAATATTTCTTGGTCATTCATCACTGTCTCAAGGATGACAAATGACTTTGAGACCACTGTTAATGATTAAGTACGCACTGCTGTTAACTTCGTGGGTGACGAGAATTTTCACCCCTCAGTTTTTTGTTGTTTTTTTCAGTCCGGTCGAATCTTACAACTAAAAAAAAAAAACTCGTCCTTTTACATTTTGTTTATTATAACAAGATGTTTATGAGTGAATTTGAAACTGAGTTTGGTCAGCCTTCATTAATTTCGCCATTCTTACACAATCAAAGCCTAACACGTGTAAAAATGCCATGTTAGTATGAACGTATTTTGATCACTGTGCATGTGTAAGAGGATTAATAATCACCATGGTCCATAGGCTGTCTAGCAAGAGTACCGGCAGGCGTGGAACAGGAATCATGTAACTGCCTTCTTCTGTAATTATAATGTTTCAACACAATATTTCAGAGGTTGCAGCAATAATCTACCGTTTTCCTTGCGTATGTTTAATTGCGAGTAACACAACCATAGCTATTCCACAGCTAGAATGCTGCCATAAGCTGTTTGACATGTCATGCAAAAGCTTTGTGAATACATTAAAAATTCCAGTATAACATGAAACCGAGGTTGCATTAAAAGAAAAGAGAATACACCAAATTATATACCTAGCGTCAAATGAAATTGAAATTTATAAAAATTAAGGATTACAAAAATACCTATATTACTGTATTGGGCTTCCGGGGGAAAAAAATCTCTCTTCAAGGTGAAAATGGATCAACGTTGTTTCTCCAAAAGGAGGCAGAAGGCAGCCTAGCGGGGTCACCTGTTTTAATCACTCGCACCTAAACTAGTGTGCTGTCTGTCAGTCAGTATACACTAAAATGACGTCATATAAGGGACCCTTAACGTTACAATTTGTACTGTCGTGGCGTCAGTAAAACGTGAGCCTGCCATAAATCACGAGACGAATTATGCACTCTGCAGGCTACAACACAGCGTGATATATACATTTCAAAAGCATGGAATAAAAATATTTATAACTCTTAATTTGGTTTTATTTGCTCTTGAAACAGAACACATCTGGGGACCCTGCGAAAGTACATCTGGTACATATATATATATCGTCGACGGTCTATCTCATCTTTCTTAAAATGCAATTAAAAGTTAGTATAATTACTCATATTATTCATACAACATTGGGTTACATCTACCGTAACTGTCCTGCAGCTAAATTTTCCATACGATTAGATACTCAAACATACAAAGAAAATATGCAAACATAACGTGTTTTAGGTAAACAATTCATTTAAACCTGTAATAAACTTGTACATTCTTTGACAAACAGCTACTTGATCAGCGAGGAACTGTGGTTATCTCTTCAATGTCAGAACAATGAAAATTTAAACACGCATGACAATTTTTTCACACATTTCCAGGTAAGTGAAAATTTTCATTTTTTTAAATAACTTTTATGTACATCAGCTACACTGATTATTAAACAAACTACAGAGTATAAAAGTGAAGAAGTACTTCATAAATCGGAATTAAAGCATATTTTGTTGGAGAAGAAACTAGCAAAAAATGCACGAGCTATGCTGCGGGGTTCAAAGGTCCCAATATTCCAACCAAGCTCCTCCATTATCTTCAATTACTTCTGTAGCTACCCCAAGAGAGGTTCGTATTCGGAAAGAAAAACCACTATGACACCTGCCCGTGGTACCTAAGCATGTGTACCAAGTTTGGTCCCATTAGCTAGAGAGGGGTATGAGTACAGTTTCAAACATGGCAACCTCGGGATCCCAAGGGAGACAGATTCGAGTTCAGCGATACTAAAAACCTAACCCTAAACCTCTATCACGCCTCAGTGGCCTTCCGGACCCATTTTAGACCCACTTTTTAGGGAGGTTACGCCATATACATAAAAAAAAAAAGGACTGCCTGGGTCTGCCTACCACGTTTGATCCAGGTAGCTCCAAAAATATGGGAGGAGTTCGTGGACAAACAAATTAATTAAATGAATGTGGATTAGTATAGGAAGATAAATATTGCACATTAAAGTAAAAGCGTGTACATACTGGAGTTTGGTAAAAATTCCCATCTTATAGGTAAACATTAAAGTAAAATATAAAAAATATGAAAAAAAAGTCCCGTTTATATATTAAACGGATATTATAAACTTTAACAGCATTTTATGCAACATATGGGCTGAACTGCTCATCAGATGGAAGGCAACCAGTCAACAGCAACCGCCATTTGAACAGCTACTTTTAATAAAATAGCGAAATTGACTGCTATGGTTTTAATGAATTCACAACTGAAAGTTCTGAGTGTGTTTGGCAGCCTATAGAGGATCGAATTTTGGAACTTCCTGCTGGTACGCTAACCAATAACTATTTATTATGTAAGCGATAATCATCTGTTGCAGAAATGACTTTTCAATACAAATTACAGGCAGCTGTTTATTTCTTCTTCGATTGCTGATTTTGTTGTATCCTGTACAGTGATCTTTCACTCTTTTAAGTTTAATGCTGCTATATGCTTTGTAAGGAATCTGTTTAACGAGTAAGGCCCACTTTAGTTAACCACATTCTCATATAGTTTTGCGGATGTAACTTTAGAAACCTGCGGCTGGGCCTTAGTTTCGGATTATTCAAACATGCGGAATTGAATTTTCCAAAGGTATTGTTTATATTAGTCATGGTGGCGCCAGCTTCTTCTCGGTGAGGGAGCTGTAATATTCAACAAGTCAACCAATTTTAATGAGAGACTAAGGTAAATTTTGGGATAGCTTCAACCCCAGCAACCCCTCCCCCCCGATAATAACGATCTTCCAGCACATTTGTATTTTCCATTTTTAAAAAAACCTAAGAGCTTTCATGGGCCCTATATAAAGAACTGACCCCTCATCACCAATTAAATCTCAAATGGGGTTGCTGTGTTAAACTGGTATGAGCAAATATACCTGATTTTAACATTTTAACATCGAACAACCGAACTTTGCAGATAAACTACACAAACTTTATTGATAACTCTTCTGACTTGGTCCATGATCTATTAAACCAGTTACTTATTTGACATTACCTCAATCTCGTGTAGATCTTTTGAAAAACTTAAAAAAATTAGTAACAACACAAATAATGCAAATATGATTACATAATTAATAAAACAAAAAAACCGACAAGTTTCAACAGATCATGCTTTTCATTCTCATAAGACGTGGTAAAACTGTTCTCAGGTCACAACACATAAATACCCATGATCACAAGAGTCAACGTCCACTAACTAACAGATAAAAAATAATAATTCCAAATAGGGTTGAGTTCAGATAACATATCATTATTTAGAAGTTTTAAAAGAAGGTTAAATAATACGGAATTTCATAAAAACATCAGCATAAAAATACACAAATGATTAAAGAATTGAGAAAACATAAAAACCTGGCTAGTTTCGACAAATCAAGCTTTTCTCATTACACTATGTATAGATGACCAGTGTTGTACATGTTCAAGTTAACGTACAATTCGAAAAAAAAAAAAAGACTTCCAAATAAGATTTATATCCCATTTCGTTATTAAGCATGTTTCTCTACTTTTAAATATTCCTATCGATTCTTTTGTGTTGCGTTGATGGAATATTTAGTTCAACAATAATTTTTGATTGACCGAAATTACTTTTGTTGGTTGTGTGAATATGAATGGTAAAGCTGATTTTTCAACTTTCTTCGAACAAGACCTGCTTAAGGTATGAGACGGTTGAGAAGATATATCGTGAAAGCGACTTGTGTCACTTTTCCAAGATTAGATCCTTCTTAATTACGTTGCCTAGAATACGCAGATGTTTTTTGCCAATG